GGATCTCTTTTTATTTTTTTTTTAAGATTTATTCGAGAGCACGTGGGGAGGGGGCAGAGGGAGAGAATCTTAAGTAGACTCCCTGCTGCACACAGAGCCCAACATGGGGCCTGATCTCCCCAACCCTGAGATCATGACCTGAGCCAAAATCAAGAGTCAGCTGCTTAACCGACTGAGTCACCAGGCGCCCCAGTCGTGGCTCTCTTTTTATTTTTTTAAAGATTTTATTTATTCAATTGAGGCAGATAGAGCATGAGCAGGCGGGAAAGGCAGAAGCGGGCTCCCTGCTGAGCCAGGAGCCCGATGTGGGGCTCGATCCCAGCATCCTGGGACCATGACCCGAGCCAAAGGCAGATGTTTAACCATCTGAGCCACCCAGGCGCCCCAGTGGCTCTCTTTTTAAAAATGACCGTATTTTAAAAGGTTAATACGCTGAAAAGATATTATGATGAAAATATTATAAAACTAAAGTGTCACTAGACTAGTATTAACATCTTGGAATAATACACCATCTATTTAGACTCTTGGGCCAAGATTTCAATTGTAGCTAAGCAATTAAATTATCAAAAGAATAGGAGAAAATTCCTAAAATGTATTCTGCATCAGCTATCCTCTGCTAACCCCACCCCTCTGGTAATAGGTTGTAAGGCCCTGCCTAGAAGGGAGAACTCATAGAATAATCTCAGCAGCCAGGTCTCAGGAGCACTGAGGTAGATGTCTCTTCCCTCTAATGACAGTGCTACCTTTAATACTTTACATGTCTGTGTACCTGTTCAGAATTCCTCAAGTTTGTTGGTGGTGCCACCCAGTGCAAGGACTCCTGCAGGGCAACATTCTCACACCACTGACACACTCCCTGCTGGCCTGTATTGACGGCTGCTTTTAGCCAAAATAAGTTTCCCATTTCTGCCTCTGGGGACCAGGTTGGCAGGCCACTTGACACAAAGCTTAGCAGCGTGTGCAGAGGTGCTCCCTGAGAAAGGAGCACTTAGTTTGGTGAAATCCTTTCCAGAGACTTGATCTTTGTCAGGGCTTCTTTTATGTTCTTTTACTTAATGTCACCCCTCCTCCTTGTCCCTGCCAAAATGTGCTCACACACACACAAATGCACTAAAACCTTAGTATTTTGTCCACTTAGAGTTTTCAGACACTTCAGTATCTGTGGTCTTATTTTATCCTTCCAGGAATCCATTAAAGTCCATAGAATAGGCATTGTTCCACTTGAAAGATGAGACAATTAAGGTATAGCTGGACCAATTACCGACGTATAGCTAGTGATATCCTGGGAACAATATCCAGAGTTGCTGACTGCAAACCTGTCCCTTTTTCTACAACACCGCTTTCTGTTTGCCTGTTTCCTCTCTATTAGCCCTTACAGGATGGATGTTTAATCTCTTATTTCCTAAGGTGAGAGTTCTTTTACCAAGCCTAGTTTGTCTGGTGAGGGATATTTCTAAGGGATTGAAGGACAGCCATCTAAGTCTTGACTGTAGCAAGGGTCATCAAGTGAGGCCCTCTCAGCGATGGGGAGATTGAGTTAAGTTTAGTGCAGCTATAATTTTTTTTACAGTTCTCTAATGTACATGCTAGATATATTCAATGAAGTATTCCTTAACTCCTTCCTTCCCTTCCAAGATGATCTGAGTGTAGGAAAAAGGAAATTATGTATCTGAGTAAAAAAGCACTTGCAGAAAACGGCTAAAGGTTCAAAACTAAATATTACCCATTATTTATGTTTAGAAGTTCTCAGAGAAGAGTTTCCATGGGATGAAGTTGTCCTTTGCAGCTGTTGACTTCCTGGTATAAGTTGTTAGAAGCTGGAAATTAATAAGTAATAAGTAAAAGTAATAAGTCATGGGGCAAAGGTACAAATGTAGTGATCTGAAGGGGCACATGCACCCCAATGTTTATAGCAGCAATGGTTTGTGGAATGGAAAGAGTCTAGATGTCCATCGACACATGAATGGATAAAGCAGATGTATATATATACAATGGAATATTATGCAGCCATCAAAAAAATGATATCCTGCCTTTTGCAACGACATGGATGGAACTAGAGGGTATTATGCTAAGCGAAATAAGTCAATCAGAGAAAGACAATTATCATATGATCTCACTGATATGTGGAATTTGAGAAACAAGACAGAGGATCATAGGGGAAGAGAGGGAAAAACGAAACAAGACGAAACCAGAGAGGGAGACAAACCATAAGAGACTCTTAATCTCAGGAAACAAACTGAAGGTTGCTGGAGTGGAGGAGGCGGGGTGGGAGGGATGGGGTGGCTGGGTGATGGACATTGGGGAGGGTATGTGCTATGGGGAGGGTGTGTGCTATGGTGAGTGCTGTGAATTGTGTAAGACTGATGAATCACAGACCTGTACCCCTGAAACAAATAATAAATTATATGTTAATAAAAATAATAAAAAAAAAAAAAAGTCGAGGTACCTGGTTAAGCATCTGCTTTCAGTTCAGGTCATGATCCCAGGGTCCTGGGATCGAGCCCCGCATCCAGCTCCTTGCTCGGCGGGGAGTCTGCTTCTCCTTCTCCCTCCACTGTCCCCCCTGCTTGTACTCTCTCACTCTCTCTATCAAATAAATTAATAAAATCTTTAAAAAAATAAAAATAAATAAATTTTAAAAAATAAGTCATGGGGCACCTGGGTGGCTCAGTTGGTTAAGTGCTAACTCTTGATTTCAGCTCAGCTCAGGTCATGATCTCAGGGTCGTGGGATCGAGCCTTGCGTTGAGCTCCATGCTCAGTGAAGAGTCTGCTCCCTCTCCTTCTGCCCCTCCCCACGTTTGTGTGTGTGTACACTCTCTCTCTCAAATTTTTTTTAAAATAATAACTCATTAGATTTCAGATACAGCCAGTAAGTATCTCAGTAGTGTCTATAAATATACTCTTCTGGGAACCAACAAAGACATTAAAAATCTGTAAACACTTTTTAAATTTACATTATATAAATAAATAAATTTATATAAAAAAGTAGGTTTTTATTTTGATTTTGGCAGTAGTCATTGTTATAATTCACTTACCAATATGTGGTCTTGATGATCAGGCCTAGCAGTTGCTCTTTCTTTTGTAATGAATCACAATGACAAGAAAAGTTCTAGTGAAAAGGTGTGATGAGCCACTTTATCACTAAAGCTCATCATCTAATGGAGAGGGCAACCTCCATTCATGGAATTTGAACTGTGTGGTGATCAGTAAGTATTACCAAGCAAATTGACAGAAATAGCCCCCTTTTTTAATGTTTAAACAATATTTGCTATTTTCTGATTATAAAAACAACACAAGAGAAAAACCATAGAGCATATAGGCTATGGGTGCACTGGCTTTGGAGTTAGAGAAGGCTTGGCTCCCATACATACTTGGTCAGTCATGACTATGTGACCAAAAGTCTCTAAGCTTTGGTGTCCTTATCTATAAAATGGGAGATACCAGGGTACCTACCTATAGAGGTATTATGTGAAGATAAAATAAAGCCAGTAAAATGCTTAGAACAGGGCCTAACCTAATAAAGGGAGTTAAAAAAAAAAAGAAGAAAATCAAAATGACTAGTGAACCACAAGCCACTGTTAACATTTTGACATGTTGGCTCTCAGGCTTTTTTCTGCCATACACACACAAACACCAGTATGAACACATTTTTCAACATTTTCCAAAATTGGGATATTTTATATACAATCTATAGCCTACTTAATTTTTCTCACATATCTTCTTTTTTAAGATTTGTTTATTTAGGGGTGCCTGGGTGGCTCAGTTGGTTAAGCATCTGCCTTCAGCTCAGGTCATGATCCCAGGGTCCTGGGATCAAGTCCCACATCGGGCTCCTTGCTCAGCGGGGAACCTGCTTCTCCCTCTGCCTACTGCTCCCCCTGCTTGTGCGCTCTCTCTCTCTGACAAATAAAATCTTTTTTAAAAAGATTTTATTTATTTGAGAGAGAGGGAGAGAATCTCCAGCAGACTTCCCCCCTTGTGTGGAGCCCGACGCAGGGCTTAATTCCATGACCCCGAGATTACGACCTGAGCCGAAATCAAAAGCCACGCACTTAACCCACTGAGCCACCTGGGTCCGCCTCCCACATACCTTTATCTTGCCCTTGATATTAAAATTTACTGAAACAGATTTTCATGACCTTATAATCCTGTAACATGATTCAACATAATTATTTAATCATTACCTCCTTGTGAGATGTGTTATTTCCAATATTTTACTATTAATGCTGCTACTTTTTTTTTTTTAAAGATTTTATTTATTTGAGAGAGAACGCACAGAGGAAGAGTGAGAGGGAAAAGCAGACTCTCAGCTGAGCGGAGAGCCTGAGCAGTTTGAGGTTGAACTTTTTTATATGTTTATTGATTCCTGTCATTATTTCAGCAAAATGCCTTTTTTTTTAAGATTTTATTTATTTATTTGTCAGAGAGAGCACAAGAAGGGGGGGATGGCAGGCAGAGGGAGAAGCAGGCTCCCTGCTGAGCAAATAGCCCAGTACGGGACTCAATCCCAGGACCCTGAGATCATGACCTGAGCCAAAAGCAAACACTTAACCAACTGAGTCATTCACGTGTCCCAGTGAAATGCCTTTTTATGAATGAATGTAACTTGTAAAAGTTTTTAGGTAGGATCTCAAGCTTCTAGAATAGTGCCAGGTACATAGTAAGTATTCAGTAAATATTTGTGGCATGATAAATGGATGAATGGCAAGAATATTAACTCTTTATCATATTTGTTTCAAATGGGGTCAAGTCTTAATAAAATTGTTGCCTTGTATACATACAAAGATAATCCTTCGGGGCACCTGGGTGGCTCAGTCGTTAAGCGTCTGCCTTCGGCTCAGGTCATGATCCCAGGGTCCTGGGATCGAGCCCCGCATCTGGCTCCCTGCTCCACGGGAAGCCTGCTTCTCCCTCTCCACTCCCCCTGCTTGTGTTCCTTCTCTCGCCGTGTCTCTCTCTGTCAAATAAATAAATAAAATCTTTAAGAAAAAAAAAAAAGATAATGCTATCTTGGTTCTTAGTCTTTATAACCTAATTTTTTTCCATTCTTTTCTTCCCCCACAGTTCATCCATGAGCTCGGATTTCCCACATTACAACTTCAGGATGCCTAATATTGGATTCCAGAATCTGCCTCTCAACATATATATTGTGGTTTTTGGCACTGCTATATTTGTCTTCATCCTTAGTTTACTCTTCTGTTGCTACTTGATTAGGTAATCAATTTTCATTCTATGTTACTTCAGAATATGTTAAACAATTATAAATCAGCTTTCTTCCCTTATGTTAAAAAATTGTGTAAGTACGATAATTAGCAAATTTTCTCTTTTTTTAAATTTGTTTATTTATTATTCAAGCAATCTCTACACCCAGTGTGGGGCTCAAACTCATGAGCTCTTGATCATGAGCTCAGGATCAAGAGCTGCGACAAGATCTGAGCCTTTAAACAGGTTCTTGTGGTCTCAAGATTTTAAGCTCCTTTAGTCAGGTGTTCAGGTTATTGATTACATAAAACTCTAAATATTCAGGGCACCTGGGTGGCTCAGTCGGTTGTGTGTCTGCCTTTGGCTTGGGTCATGGTCCCAGGGTCCTCGGATCAAGTCCTGCATTGGGCTCCCTGCTCAGTGGGGAGTCTGCTTCTCCCTCTCCTTCTGCCCCTCCCTACCACTCATGCCTGTCTTTGTGGTTTCTCAAATAAATAAAAACTTAAAAAAAAAAACTATTCCACAAGCTCTACAGCACATGTACAGACAAGTGACACCTCACTTGAAGGAGTAATGGATTTGGCCAGTAAAGATTCATAGTTGACTTACTTATAATTGTTTAAGCAAGCATCTTCCTCTTTTAAGTTTTTAAATAGGATCTAATATTCAAAGCCAAAACTCAGACTACAAAAATTCATATACTATATTGTTCAAAGAGCTTTATGAGTAAAAGGGTAGAAAGCTGGGTTTTATTAAGCAATTATACTTCTAACAATTTTTAGTATTTGTACAGTATGTGATTATGGTTTTGTTTTGTTTTTTTAAAGATTTTATTTATTTATTTGACAGAGAGAGACAGCGAGAGCAGGAACACAAGCAGGGGGAGTGGGAGAGGGAGAAGCAGGCTTCCCGCTGAGCAGGGAGCCCGATGCGGGACTCGATCCCAGGACCCTGGGATCATGACCCGAGCCGAAGGCAGACGCTTAACGACTGAGCCACCCAGGCACCCCTGTGATTATGGTTAAGATAAATACCATCATCAGATATCTTTCAGCAATAATTGTTTCCTCCAGTGACCACTCACTGATGGTCAAATTCAAACGAATTTAGTGTGTATTTCCAATATTCTGACAAGTGAATTTACGTTCTTCATAGAAAGTGAATCTTTCTGAAGCTCTCACAAAATGTAATCACTTCTTATCTCTCATAGATATGCTGGCTGGTTATGATTTTTAGGTCTTTCTCAGAGTAATAAACACCTTAGCTAATTATAGCTTTTAGGAAAAGCTTTTTTTTTTTTTTTTTAAGATTTTATTTATTTATTTGACAGAGCGAGTACAAGCAGGGGGAGCGGCAGAGGCAGAGGGAGAAGCAGGCTCCCGCGGAGCAGGAAGCCCAATGGGGAGCTTAATCCCAGGACCCTGGGATCATGACCTGAGCCGAAGTCAGACACTTAACCAACTAAGCCACCCAGGTGCCCCTTTAATTCATATATCTGATAAGGATTTAATAAGCAGAATATATTTTTAAAAAATTCTTACAATTCAATGACAAAAAGACAACTGAATTTTAAAATAGACAAAGGACTTAAACAAATAGCCATTTCCCCAAAAAGGATATATGAATGGCCAGCAAGTACATGAAAAGAAGTTCAACATCATTGGTCATAAAGGAAATGCAAATTAAAACCACTATGAGATACCACTTCACAACTACTAGGATGTTGTAATCAAAAATACGGAAAATTACATGTCCTACCTAGAAAGATCTGTAAAAAGAAAGAAGATCTAATAAATAGAGGAATATACTACGTTCATAGGTTGGAAACTTTGTCTTGCAAAGATCTTCCACAATTGATCTATAAATTCTATATACAACCTCAGTTAAAATCCCAACAGATCTTTTGTGGAAAGTGACTACCTCATAAAATTTATATGGAAGTGCTGAGGATCAAGAATAGCCAAGACAGCTTTTCTGCCCGTGGACGCTGCCAAGTAAGCATCGTTAAAGTCTCCCCTCCCACCACTGTCATATCTAAGTCAGAGTCTCCCAAAGAGCCTAAACAGCTGTGGAAAGATTTTTGTTGGTGGCATTAAAGAAGACACTGAAGAACATCATCTAAGAGATTATTTTGAACAGTGTGGGAAAATTGAAGTGATCGAGATCATGACTGACCGAGGCAGTGGCAAAAAGAGAGGTTTTGCTTTTGTAACATTTGATGACTCTGTAGACAAGATTGTCATTCAAAAATACCATACTGTGAATGGCCACAACTGTGAAGTAAGGAAAGCCCTATCTAAGCAAGAGATGGCTAGTGCTTCATCCAGCCAATGAGGTCAAAGTGGTTCTGGAAACTTTGGTGGTGGTTGTGGAGGCGGTTTTGGTGAGAATGACAACTTTGGTCGTGGAGGGAACTTCAGTGGTCGAGGTGGCTTTGGTGGCAGTCGAGGTGGTGGTGGATATGGTGGCAGTGGGGATGGCTATAATGGATTTGGTAATGACGGAAGCAACTTTGGAGGTGGCAGAAGCTAGAATGATTTTGGCAATTACAACAATCAGTCCTCAAATTTTGGACCCATGAAAGGAGGAAATCTTGGAAGCAGAAGCTCTGGCCCCTATGGTGGTGGAGGCCAATACTTTGCCAAACCACGAAACAAAGGTGGCTATGGTGGTTCCAGCAGCAGCAGTAGCTATGGCAGTGGCAGAAGGTTTTAATCACTGCCAGGAAACAAAGCTTAGCAGGAGAGGAGAGCCAGAGAAGTGACAGGGAAGCTACAGGTTACAACAGATTTGTGAACTCAGCCAAGCACAGTGGTGGCAGGGCCGAGCTGCTACAAAGAAGACATGTTTTAGACAATACTCATGTGTATGGGCAAAAAACTCGAGGACTGTATTTGTGACTAATTATATAACAGGTTATTTTTGTTTCTGTTCTGTGGAAAGTGGAAAGCATTCCAACAAAGGGTTTTAATGTAGATTTTTTTTTTTTTGCACCCATGCTGTTGATTGCTAAATGTAATAGTCTGATCATGACGCTGAATAAATGTGTCTTTAAAGAAAAAAAAAATAGCCAAGACAGTAGTTAAGAGCAGAACTTGAGGACTTAATACTGCCAGACCCATACTTGTTACAAAGCCCCAGTACTTAAAGTGCTATTTACGTAGCACCCAGAATTTGGTTTCTAAATACTCTTCTCCAATAAAAGGAACGAAGATTCTTTTGAAGAAGTGGTTAATTCCACAACTGGGGCATAGGAAATACAAGATGAGCCTGGAACACCTTTTGGTGCCAGTAAGCAAGGACGTGCATGGAAAAGGATGAGGGCATATTGAAAGGACACAGGAGTCAACCTGATGGAGCTCCTGAAGGCCAACCCTAAATCAGTTTGAGCAACAAAACAAATAATGATCATACTGAATTATAACCCATAGACTAAAACAAATATACACAAATTACTGATATAAATAAATAAGAAGGGACAACTCTTCCGTACAGAAGAATTCCAGTTAATGTACAAGGAATTAGAAAACTACAAAACCACCATCATGTAGCCACTACAGTAATTGTTGCAAGCAAGATGGGTGCTAAAATCAGTGGGCAAAAGTTTGAGAAAAAAATAGGGTATTTGCATAGTTTCAACATCTCTCCCCCAAGATATTGATCAGTCACAAAGAGGGAAATAGTACCTTTTACAGTGGAGAGACCTGGTAGACACCTCCATAACCAAATGATCATTGGTTAATGTGTCAAAATCTTGAAAGTCAAGGGAAAACTAAAGAATTGTCAGAGATTGGAGGAGGCTAAGGAGACATAAATAGATGCAAGGTAGGATCTTGGATTGGATAATAGAACAGGAAAAGGACAGTAATGGAAAAAAAGTGAAATTCAAACAATGTCTGTTGTTTAATATTATGACAATATTAATAATATCAGTGTTAATTTCCTGGTTTTGATCATTGTACAATGGTTGTGTAAGATGTTAACATTGGTAAATCTGGGAGGAAATTTATGTGAACTCTATTTTTTGCAGCTTTTCTTTTTGCAGCTATTTTGAAAAATTATTTCAGAATAAAAGTTAAGAGAAAAACTAATGTGGGGCTGCTTGGGTGGCTCAGTCATAACACGTTCTGCCATCAGCTCAGGTCATGATCCCAGGGTCCTGGAATCGAGTCTTGCATTGGACTCGTTGCTCAGTGGGGAGCCTGCTTCTCCCTCTCTGCCTGCCACTCCCCCTCCTTCTGCTCTCTCTCTCTCTCATAAATAAATAAATAAAATCTTAAAAAAAAAAAAACTAATGTGGTAATGACATCAGGTGCATTCATTTCCCAGGGCTGCTATAACAAAGTACCACAAACCAAGTGGCTTAAAAATAACAGAACTCTAATCTCACAGTTCTGGAGGTTAGAAGTTTGAAATCAGGGTGTCCCAGTAGGTCCATGCTCCCTCTGAAGGCTCTAGGGGAGAATCCTTCCTTGCCTCTTCCCTAGTTACTGGTAGTTACCAGAAATCTTTGATGTTCTTTGGCTTGTACCTGCATGATTTCAATCTGTTTCTATCTTCACCTGGCCTTCTTCTAAACCAGTCATATTGGATTTAATATGACCTCATTTTAACTAAATAATCTACAAAGGCTCTATTTCCAAATAGGGTTGCATTCTGAGGTTCCAGCAGACATAAATTTTTTAGACTATTCAAGCGAGTATACAGGAATAGACAAATAGACCAATGGAATAGAATGGAACTCTAGAAACAGACCCACATATTGGATCTAACTTAGGACAGATGTGTCACTGCTATGCAATAGGGAAAATAGGGTCTTTTGAATAAATGAATCAAATGAAAATCTGCATGTGAATAGAAAGAATCATGACCCCTTCCTCACATCATATATAAAGACTAATTTCAGATGGATCATAAGTAATTTTGGATGGATACCTAAATGTGACAGGTAAAATAAATTGTTTTCACAATACACACGAGAATATCTTCATGATCGGGGAGTAGGCAAAGATTTCTTTAACTGGATGCAAAAAGAACTTGACATTATTGTGAAGAGTTTATAAATTGGACTTAATTTGAATTAAAAGCTTCTGTTCATCAAAAGATACCATCAAGAGAATGAAAACGCAAGCCATAGAGTGGGAGATAATTGCAGTACATAGACCCAAGAGAGGACTTGCGTCTGAAATATATAAAGAACTCCTACAAATCAATAAGAAGAAGGTAACTCATTTTTTAAAGACTCAAACAGGCATTTTATTTTTTCTTGTTTTTTTTAAAGATTTTATTTATTTGACAGAGACACATCGAGAGAGGGAACACAAGCAGGGCGGGTGGGAGAGGGAGAAGCAGGCCTCCCACTGAGCAGGGAGCCTGATGTGCGGCTTGATCCCAGGACCCTGCGATCATGACCCAAGGCAAAGGCAGACGCTTAACTGACTGAGCCACCCAGGTACCCCATCAAACAGGCATTTTATAAAGGAAGTTATCCAAATGGACAATAAGCTTATAAAAGGGTGCTGAACATCAATTGGGAATTGCAAATTAAAGCTGAAATGAGATACCACTGAATACCTACCAGATTGGCTAAATTTTTTTTAACTGATCCTACCAAGTAGTGGCAAAGATGTGAAACAGCAAGAGCTCTAGTGCATTACATCTAGGAATGGAAATCAGTACAAGCATTTTGACTAGCAGTTCTACTCCTAGGTATATACTCAACAGAATTAAGTCTATATGTCCACTAAAAGACGTAGAATTTAGGTAGCAGCTTTATTTATAATAGCCCCAAACTGGAAGTAACCTAAATATTCATCAACAGTGTAATGGATAGTCTTATATTCATACAGTGGAACACTATATCAGTCAAAAAGAATTACTGCAACCATGTGGTTGATTTTCACAAGTAATTGTTAGCTGAAAGAAGCCAACACAAAAAGCATATATCAAATGATAACATTTAAGTGAAGTTCAAAACAAGCACAATCTATAATGATAGGAATCAGGATAGTGGGTACCTCTTAGGGGTAGATATTGATTGTTAGGAGTCATTTCAGGGGTCCTGGAAATGTTCTATATCTTGATCTGGGTGATAGTTACACCTGTGTGTGTGTATGTACATATATATATATTATTTTTTTTAACATTGAGTTGTATTTTTTTTTTAAATTTCTTAGAGAAAGTGAGAGAGAGAGCCAGTGAGAGAGCGAGCACAAACAGGGAAGCAGGGGGGAGGGGCAGAGGGAGAAGCAGACTCCCCACTGAGCAGGGAGACAGACATGGGGCTCCATCCCAGCACTCTGGGATCATGACCTGAGCCAAAAGCAGATGCTTAACCAACGGAGCCACCCAGGTGCCCCACATTTAGCTGTATTCTTAAGGTTTTTTTACGTTATTAGATGGATGTTACACTTAAATTTTTTAAATTAAGAAAAAATGTGATATATTAAATACTAAAACAAGTGGACTGTCACCAATATAAATAGAATTGAAGCTTCTTCATTTAAATATTTGTATTAAGATTTTGTTTTAATGAGATTTCACTTGAACTTAACATTTGGATAACATAACATTTTATGGTTCTTTGGCTACTTTTTCATAACATGGTAATAGATATGTCATTTGGGTGTTTTTCAGGATAAAGATTTTGGATTTTAAACCATAAATGATATAAATTAATATCAAAAATCTGTTTAAGATCTTTATCAAATTGTTGTATTGGAAACCTCAGTATCACATTGCTCATTTGTCTTTTTAGGCTAAGACATCAAGCACACAAAGAATTTTATGCCTACAAACAGGTAAGAAATTTACTTCAGATTGGCCTTGATTTTTTTTTTTAAACCAAAAAATGAGAACTTAGATTTCCACTCATATTTTAAACTGGGACTGGATTTACTTGTGTTCATTTTAGCATTTCACTTCCAGTTTGCAGTACAAAATAGATCAACATCACTTTAAGTATTTCTCATTATTTGAAGTTCAGATGATATAATAATATAACAGGGAACTTTAGCCAACACTGCTAAAGGCAAATGTTATGGTTAATAATCCTTAAAATTACTGTTAATCTAGTAGAGTTAAGAGATCCCATTAAATGAATTTGTTACTTCTTCCGTTAGAAGACATATCTGTTCCTCAGAGGTGAACAGTTGCATTATCATGATCTCATCTCCTCCTCCTCTCTCACGTCATACCACCGGAAGTCTAAATACTTGGGTCATTGCTGTTAATCCCTACTCTTTGTACTGTCATTCCTTTACCGATTTGTTCTTTAAGGGAACAAACTTAGCTTTTCTTGATGGCCAAGTAAAATTTGTTTTTTCTTCCATGTGTCATCTGATAACATTTTACCACGGACACCAAACAGTGGGCCTAGGTGTTCCTTAATTTTCTTTTGACCCAAAGTATGAAATTATTTTTATTGTCCTTAGTTTTTTTTGCTTTCTGGTTTTGGGATTTGGGTTTTGGTTTTGTTTTGTTTTTGTTTGTTTTTATGGAGTCGTGGGGTAAGCTTTAGTTTATTTGGGTCTTTAACGTTGCTGACACTGATGCTGCAGGACCATGTCACCATTTTAGGATTATGTATCTCTTTGTCCATCTTTTGTTTATGTCTCTTTGAAATCTGAGCTCATTGGCAAGTTCCTTAGATGTCCACACTGATGTCCATAGGTAACACCATGGTCTTCCCAATAGGTCTCATGTGAGATTCATAGAGTTGAATGTTTTAGTTTTCTAAATTAATGAATCCTTTTGTCTCAGTATTATCATAAATTTGACAACGTATAAGATATTTGTATGTAAGATGTAAGCTAAGTAGAAAGTAAAATTGGCCTTGATGATCATTTAACAAGTAAAATTGACTGATAGAGTTAAAAGAGTAACAAGATAGACAGTAAAGTGGTTTTTAAAATATACTGAATTGGAAATTTAGTACATCCTTGCATAGCTGGATGGTAGCTTTTGGTTGTGATTTCTGAAAATATGATTTGCCCTGAAAACCATTTTTGGTTCAAGAATGTAAGATACTCAAAACTGGGAGATTTTCCCCCAAATTTCACTTACCTATTTTTTGACTTTAAGATGGCATATAATTCTAATAAGCTGTTTATTCTCCAAAATTTTCTTATTTTTTTTTTTTATTTTTTAAGTAATCACTACACCCAACATGGGGCTTGAATTCACAACTCCGAGATCAAGTCACATGCTCTACCAACAGCCAGTCAGGCGCCCCTGGAAATTTTCTTTTTAAATAATCTGCTGCCCTCTTATCACTTGTCATTTTTTTAACTGGTATCCAGTTACCACAGGTTGGGGATGGCACCTGGGTGAATTTTAAGTTCATTTACATGACTTTAGGTAGAGCTAAAATTTTCTGAGGATAATGATGAATAAAAATAAGCAAAACTTGCAAAATTAAGCTTGACCTTATTTTTTTAATCTTTTATACATTAATAGTCAGTTCCCATCAGCTAATACTGTGTTTTAGTGAATCATGAGAGTCAACCTCATTTGTTTTCCTCCTAAGTTAGCACTTGGTCCAGATGAGCATGTATTTATGTCTTTTCCTGAAATTTAATCTACACTCAAAGGGATTTTAAAATTGTTTTTCAGAAGAACATTGCGTCACTGCTCAAGTTAAAAAAAAAATGTTGCTAAAAAAAATATGGCTAAAATGTTCTGTCTCAATATAAAAGAGATTTTTTCCAATATTGAACAGGAGGAGAAGTGAGCTACATATACAAAAGAAAAATATGTTTTAGTATAATGAGAAATTTTTAATTATAAATTTAAATGGGCATAACATACTTTTTTGTCTTACAGGTTATATTAAAAGAGAAAGTTAAAGAACTGAATTTACATGAGGTAAGTTGCCTATAAGTATTTTAATCTTTTCTTGAGCTATTATCTAATAGAAGTAGTATGCTGTGGTATGCTTAACCATCTTTATTCCAAGAAGTTAAAAAAAAGTTAGGCTTATTTTGATCTGCTTAATAGAATATTTGAGGGTGTGGTCACATAAAAATCAATTATGAGATGACAATTATGAGAAGATTTTTAATAGAGATGGTGGTGATGTAAGATTTCATAGCAGTAGGGATGCTGTGTGCTATCCCTGATATGAGCAGATAGATATAAATTAGTTTTTCTACTCAAGATGAATTTGTACTACTTTCATTCTTGAAAATGTTCCTAGAATCCCGTCATATAAATGGCACAAAAGAGGCAGTGATTACTTCATGGGGTGGGGGTTTGGGGAGGTGAGGCAAGAGAATACAATAGAGAAGAATGCAGTTTGACTTTGACTCCTTGGGATTGTCTAGTGATGAAGTTGCGTGGTTGGTTCCCAGGTGTTCATTATGTTACCATGCTTTGTAATGTGAATACAAAAGTGTGTGTGTATCCTGCTGTACATCTTCAGACACATTGCCTATAAGAATTCTTTTTCATTTTACTCCTTTTGTCGTCTCTGACTACAGTTCAGAATTTTAAATTTGAGAGTCCTTTTCTCTTCCTTCCTTTCCAAGTTTTTGAATTGGTTTGTAAAACAAAGACTTGGAAAGCTGCACATTATAATATCTGTCTTACATAATTGTGGGGCAGCTTCATTGCTAGTCTCTTCAAAGAGAGTTAATTTGTGAAATTATTTGAATAATAATAAAATAATGATTTAGGGGTGCCTGGGTGGCTCAGTCAGTTAAGTGTCTGCCTTTGGCTCAGGTCCTGATCTCAGGGTCCTGGGATTGAGCCCCGCATTGGGCTCCCTGCTCAGCAGGGAGCCTGCTGCTTCCTCTTCCTCTGCCTGCCACTCTCCCTGCTTGTGCTCTCTCTCTATCAAATAAGTAAATAAAATTTTGGAAAAAAAGAAAAGAATGATTTATATTATTGTCAGACACTTTGAAAATGTCTACTGCTTTGCTCTTTTTGCATATTTTTTTATCAAAGAGTTGCTATATTACAGCATTTTAGAACCTTTTAAATCCAAAGCATCAATTACTGTTTGATTTTTTTCTTTTTACTGTTTGATTTTTAAATTTTCCCAGAATTAACATGAAATAATAGAGGATGATCTCTTTTCTATTTGGGGTCTCTTTGAGGACCATAAATGTAAAGATTATATTCTGACACATGTTACCAATATTAAACAACCAGGTTCCTCAGGAGCAGAAATCTTCCTCATTGGTCTGACCCACTAGTTTAGAATGGGTCTTTATCTTGAATGAGTACATTGTGTTGCATCATTATGTATCAGAGTTATATCCCATTTGCACCTACCCATTCCAGTTTTGCTGAATCTGACCAGCTGCTGATCCCCTCTCCCCGTTATTTGAAACTAGTAGCTAGGATAACCTAACGTTGCTCTATTGCTTGTTTCTAGAGGCAATCAGGTATTTTTTGCAATTCATTTGGTCTTTTCCAGTTGCATTTCTTGGTGATGAAACTATTTTGTCCGACTTTTGTGTGTATGTGTGCATTTCTGTAGCCTAATTATACAGTAGTAACATAGCTTGGTCCTGTGTAAGCATGTGGAATTTCGATATGGATACTGTTATTAGTGAATAATTACAATAGTGAAAAATCAAAGACAAGCTAAATGTCCATCAGTGGTGAGTGAATAAATAAAACATGATATACATTGATTTATACACTCATCCTTTCACCAACAGAACAATCATGCAAGTGGAAGATTATCCACCAAGAGAGGGAGGGAAGGAAGGAAACCTGATATAGTACTATAAAGTTGGCAAAATTAAGGATTGAGCTCTATTAGTAAACGTGTCAGTTGGGATGGATCTCTAGTGGGATCCAGAAAAAGCAAGTCACAAAGTGATATGTTTATATGACATATGTAGACTAAACTAAACACCCTATTGTTCATGGATTTATATGCATACTACAAGGTGTTTTACTGTGTTTGAGAAGGACACATAGTTACATGGAGAAAGAGAAGAGAAAGATTAGGGGAGTTGGTCAAAAGAGATGTTAGTTTTATATGTAATGAGTTTTTAAAGAAGGAAAACAAGTTAATATATTACTTTTAAAATAATTTTAGAGTTGGGGCACCTGGGTGGCTCAGTTGGTTAGGTGTCCAACTCTTGATTTCAGCTCAGGTCATGATATTAAGATGGTGAGATTGAGCCCCGCTTCAGGCTCCACACTGGGTGTGGAGCATCCTTGAGATTCTCTCCCTCTGTCCCTCCTCCCTCCCTCTCTAAAATAATAATAATAATTTTAGAGTTATTGAATACATAAAACATGTCAGACACTGTACTAAACTAAACTGCAGAGACACAAGCATAAAATACTAATTTCTACTCTTAGTTAGCAGTCTGGTAGAGGGGACTATCAATGAGAAAGCCAAACTGCAGTGTGCAGAAGGGTGCTGTGTGTTATCTGGGATATATGCTGAGAAGTTCTTGAGGATTCTGGTATTGCACAATCACACAGCTGCTTGGCTTTTGCTCCCCTAAGGGAGATTTCCTGGGACCTTGCAGGCTGAGATGCCCAGACACCACCCCCCCACCCCAGCTTCTTAGACAGTTGGTTCTATAGCTGTGACTATATCATTTGCTTAATTTTTTCTACCAGTATAGGACTCAAACAACACTTACACTAAGTGAAGCTAAGGAGATACTATATACATAATCAAAACACAAGAATATATTGTCCTTCTATGAAGAAAAATGTTCTCTTGATACCCATAGTCTTCCCTGTTTTTATTTCTCCATCTTTTCATAGAGACACAGATATAGAGAAGGAGATCTCTAAGAGAAACAACAGAACAATCATGCAAGTGGGTTAATAAATGGCATCTAATGAAGTCTTGGTGTCAAAAACAGAAGGGTGCTATGGAAGCTGCGACACACTGGGGCATGCAGGCCCTGTTAAAGGAGTTGCCAGCACTCAGCTCTAGCTGATTGTTGCCATGGGGGAATGTAGGCCAGTTGCTGCCAGATCTGGGTTTCTTCAAGAGAAGCTCGAGAGTCTTGGCATTAGTTTATGATCTGCTCCCTGTTTGCATATAGTCTTTGATTTGTTCACCACAGTGTCCCCAACTCTAGTTTTGGTGAGTGGTAGCTTTCTCCATTAAATTTCCTTTGTCAGAAATCAAATGGCCATATTTTGTGACTCTGTTCCATTGATTTATACACTCATCCTTTCACCAACACTACAGTCTTAATGTAGCTTTACTAATAAAGCTTACCGTAGCTCTGTAAGTCTTAAAATCAGGCAGTGTGATCCTCCAACTTTATTCTTTTTTTTTTTTTCCTCCAACTTTATTCTTCTCCAAAACTGTTTAGTCTAATTCCTTGCTCTTCCATATAAATTGTAGCATCAGCTGGTCTATATCTACAAAAAAGAAGAAATCCTGCTGTGGGATTTTGATTAGTATTTCATTAAATCTATAAATCAGGGGAAAATTGACATCTTTACCATGTTGAGTCTTCTATAAACACATTATGTCTTTTCATTTATTTACTTATTTGTATAAGGCTCTGTTAGCTGAATACACATTTAGGATTTTTAGGATTATGTCTTCTTGGTGAATTGACCCTTTTATTGAAATTATAATATCCCTCTTCATCTCTGGCAATTTTCTTTGCTTTGAAATCTTTGCCCGATATTAATATAGCACCTCTAGCTGGGGCGCCTGGATAGCTCAGTCAGTTAAACATCCGACTCTTGGTTTTAGCTCAGGTCATGATCTCATGGGTGAGACCAAGCCCTGCATCAGCCTCCCCACTCAATGGGGAGTCTGCTTAAAGATTCTCTCCCTCTGCCCCTCCCCCTACTCATGCTCACGAGCTCTTTCTCTCTCTCTCTAAAATAAAAAGAATTAACTCCTTTTTAAAAAAATACATAGCACCTCTAGCTTTCTTTTGATTAATGTTTGCATGGCATGCCTTTTTCCATCTTTTTAATTTCAGTCTACCTATATATTTGAAGTGAGTTTTCTTATAAATAGCATAAGGTTTGGTTATGATTTTTTTTTTCTTTAACCCACTCTGCCAATCTTTGTTTTAATTGGTGTGTTTAGACCATTTACATTCGAGGCAATTATTGATGTTTGGAATTAGGTCTACCATTGTATTATTTGTCTTCTGCTTTTCCCACTCTTTGTCATTCTTTTTCCCTATTCCTGCCTTCTTTGGGTTATTTGAACATTTTAGTAATCCATTTTAGTAATTCATTTTTATTTTTTTAAAGATTTTTCATTTATTCATTTAAGAGAGCACAAGAGAGAGCATGAGCGGGGAGAGGGGCAGAGGGAGAAGGAGAAGCAGACTCCCCACCAAGCAGGGAGCCCTATGCGGGGCTCAATCCCAGGACCCCGGAACTATGACCTGAGCCGAAGGCAGATGCTCAACCAACTGAGCCACCCAGGCACCCCTAGTAATCCATTTTTAGTATCTATTATGATTTTGACTCTATCTTTTTGTATAATATTTTAGTGGATTATAAAATAAATATTTAGAATCAATTTTTTAGCACTTCAATTGGAATGTAGAAACCTCTTACCATATAGATCCCTTTATCATTTTCCCTTTATGCAATAGCTATCATATTACATCTATATACATTGAAAATCCCATCAGATAATGTTATATTTTTTACTTATAGCTGTCAAGTATCTTCTAAAGAATTCAGAGAGGAAGAATAGTCATAAATATTTATCCAGCTATTTGTCGTATCTGTTGCTCTTCATTCCTAATATTCCAATTTCCTTCTTAATTCCATTTTCCTTCTATCTGATGATCTTCCTTTAGCATTTCTTTTAGAGCAGATCTGCTGGCTGTGAATTCTACTAGTTTGCCTTCATCTGAGAATGTCTTTATTTCACCTTCATTCCTAAGGAGGATATT